CCAAGGTTCAACACTTAGCCCTTATTTATTTGTACCAATCATAGGTGCATTGATTAAATAAAAGGTAGGGAAAGGAAAGGAAAGGTAGGAAAATCYATACAAGATTTGTAAAGGTTTCCTACTCTTTCCTTTCTTTTCCTTACTTTTTCCTTCAAACCAAACATAGCCTTAATTACTAAAACTAATGAAGAATTAAATGCAAAATTAAGCATATGAACAAATGCCTTTAAAACAAGAGGTTTTGAAATAAGTAGGATTGGAGACCAAGAGATAACTCAATGTGACCTTTTCTGATACCTTGGTTCAATAACTCATGAGTCATAACCAAGGAGAGAGTAAGGAGAATGTCGCCCGTAAAGTTAGAGTAGGATGGGAAAAACAGAAGGGTGTGTTGGTTCGGCTGTCTTAATTTGTATGTTTATCTTTGTTGGGTCTTAAGTCATTAGTTATTGGGCCTTAGTTACTGGGCCTAATCTTATTTAGTGTTTATTTTGACTTGGTGTCCCATCACTAATCAGGGGCATTCTGGTCTATTTATGTAACATTATGTAATGTTCTTATATATAATAGATTAAGGCTGGCTAAGAACTCTTCTGCCACCCATCTCATATCTTCTTCTTCTTCTTCTCCTCTCATTCGACAGCTCTATTTCAGCAAACAGGGTGCATTCAGAGTTTTATGTGGTAGGCAAATACCACTTAGATTAAAAAGGAAAATTCTACAAAATAGCTGTATGTATGGATTAGAGTGTTGGGCAATCAAGAAACAACATTTCCAAAAAAAGTGGGTGTTGAAGAAATGTGTGCCAGTGTATGCCGAGACGGATGAGTATTAAAAACTAGAAAGGATAGGATGAGAAATGAAACCACTCATAGGAACATAAGAGTAGCTCCAAAAGGTGATAAAATGAGAGAAAGTAGATTTAGATGGTTTGGTCACATGCATAGAAGCCCATCAACAACACTGGTAAGAAGTGATTTGTTGCAAGTTGAGGGGGTTAGAGGGCTAGGGGTAGGCCCAAAAGGACATTCAGAAGTAGTAAGAAATAATTTAAGTGACAATAACTTAACAATGGATATGGATTTAAACAGAATGGAATGCAAAACAGGATTCATGAAGCCAACCCCATATAGTTCAAATAAGGATTGGATGATGATGATTGATATGATTTTAACGATCAGTTTGGGTGACAACTAATAATTTCGAAGAAGCCATTTATGCTGGCTAAAAGGAGGAGGAGGAAGCTATCTATAACTGAGGCAAAGACTTTCAACATCAACAAAGTCCCAAGGAATAAAGGCACCAATTCAAGGCCATGGGAGCAAAAATGGGTACAGTACCCCCTTGAAGATAAGTGAAGATGTAGTTTAAAGGTTTCATCAATAGTGCAGTTTACTTAAACAAGTGTAATCAATGCAATGAGGTGCTAACAAGATGCTGACTAGTCAATGAATAAAAATATATTTTCTAAACTTAAGATATTGATGTAATATCATAAATAAGTTAAATATAGACTACAAAGACTGACATTGAGTATTTAGCTTACATTCTGTTTTTTGCAAACAAAAGAAAGTTATGCTGGATAGGCTACAATAGGGAATTACAACCTTTATTTTCCAAAGAATTAGTGCAACCTAGATTATTTGATATGCCAGTTTTTGTGGCAACTTTATAATTGCAAAAACTACTGATTTGAAGAAAACTTGAAAGAACTCCTCTGCAACTTTCCTTTATTTTATGCCTTTTTACTATTTTATATACCTTCAGCCAATCATGTTCCAGTGAAGATGCTTAAAGCAGCAGTTTGAATAACATAACATGAAAATATTCTATATTATTTCAAATAATTAGAGATACAAACAAAAAAAAAATCTTCAAAATGACTTTGTGATTAACTAAGATAATTAATCATTAGTCAACTAGCTAACAAAGTCGATACGAGTAGTCCTAGGCAAGGATTGAAATATCGCAACATACCGGGCGTATCAGCCGATATGTATCATATCGGGGCCCCTCTGATACACCCCTACACCTAGTGTTTTGGGGTCCCACCTATTTCAGGGGGTAGCGCAATTGCAGGCTAAAACCAAGTATAAGTAAATCAATTAAACAACAAAAGTCTTGTTTTAGTCGTAGAAAAAAAAGGTGAAAGTTAAAATAGAAGAATGAGAAGGGGCTGGAGTCCCTGTATTTGTCTAAGAAAAAGAAGAAGAAAAAATAAAAAGACTATGAAATAGGATATAACCCATGTTTCAGTCAAAGAAGAAGATGGAGCAGATCCCTTGATTCAGTCCAAGAAAAAGAAAAAAAAAAAAAAACTGAAAACAAATTAAGAAAAGAAGAATAAGGAGGAACTAGCTCATCTTTCTTCACTTTAGCCACAAAGAGTGTCAGAAGCTAATGGAGATGTACAAGGGTAGCAATTCTATGAACAGTACAGGAAGATATCCTAGAAAGCATATGAATTAGGGTTGCACAGAATTAATATTCTAAATGACTTTTCCCCTTTCTCTACAATGACATACCTATGTACTGGCATCACATGGCATCATCATCAACAACTTGTTCTTTGGCAATTGAAGAATGGAAATCACCAATATCAGGTCAAACCAAGATATGATGCTATTCTAGCATTATTACAAAGAACTACAGTGCCTGGGGACAACACTAGAGCTGGAGCTTCGCAATATTGCAAGGGTTGAGATTGGCCAGAATCTTAACTTTGAGAATATAGCCGTGGAAGGTAATATTAAAGTGGTGGTAATGGACGCCAGGGTTCATAGAAATACAGCAATACATTGACAGAAATCAAACACCTAGCTAGGGACTTGGTAACTAATTATTGGTAAGTGCAACAATCTGGAAAAAATGTTTTCCTGGTTAGCAGTAAACAATGCTTTCAAGGACAGAAACTTATATTCCTTTTTTGCGGTTGGGAATCTTTTTGTAAATCAGGATTTGGGGGTCTAGCTCTGCTGGTGCAGTTTTTGTAAATCCCTGTATACAGCTCCTTGTTGTACATGTTTTTTGTCTTAATGAAATTCTCACATTACCTGTTTCAAAAAAAAAAAAAGAAGTGCAACAATCTGCAAATGGGTTGGCTGATAGAAATTAGAATGGCCAAACAAGAGATTCAAAGGGCACAGCATTTTTAGGCACAATTTCAAGATAAGATCTTGAGTTGAAAAAGGGAAGGGCTAGGTAGCTGATGCTAGCCTATTTTTGGGAGTTTTTGGGCACTTAGCATTGTATGTAAAAAATTCTTTTATCACAATTCACAATTAATAAAGGTTAAATGTTACCAATCAAAAAGAAAATATATCGGTTTGGGCATTTGTTGAAACAGATAACCATTACATTTCCATTTATAGGAAAATAAATTAGGTGCCTATTAACTCGACCATGACCTTGGTCACTAACCTAAGCCACAATAGCACCAGGCAGCCTACCAACTTGATCAGATCTAGAACAACTCTTCATACATCAAGTTAACCAAACTAAGGTAAGTAAAGCATAAAATATGAGCATTTCTACTTTAATCTATGTTATAAACAAAAATATCATCTATGTTACAAATTTTTCCTTCCAAGTACAATACATATTAACATACTCATGCACATAAAGGTAACTCATATAGAATCATTAAGTAATGCTACAATACCTGTTGACATGCATAAAATGTGAAAATTATATCCTCTTGACATGAAGTAAAGAATAGTTGGACAAAAGAACCTGCAAAAGTCTTGAGTGACTTAATAGGAGATTGTAATAAAGAAATGACTCGGGAAATAGAATAAACATAGTTTTTTGGGGGGTGATGTCACTGATGTGCAACTAATATATTAGGCACCTCACCCAAAAGCCAAGAAAAAATATATTAGGCGTATGCTTAGGGGACTGAAACACATATATCAAAATATACAATATTTTATTGGTTGGTTGTAGTTTTTATAATAGGACTTGTTGCATATTATCATGCTTTTGTTGTGAGGAAAGTAAAAATAAAATAACCTTCGAGGGTTTCACTTTGACAAAAGAATTGAACTTAGGAAGAGGAGAGAACAACAGTCCTCCATCGTTCTGACACAGCCCTCTAAGTCAAGGTGAGTTAATCAGTTTCCTCCTTTGTTTTGTTCTCTTTTTCCACTGATTTAAAACAGTGGTTATGCCCCATTTTTCTCCTCTTCCTTTTTGTTGGACTATAACAGGGGCTCCACCCCCATTCTTCTTTCCTGGTTTGAATCATATTATTGGACTAAAACAGGGGCTCCGCCCCCTTCTTTTGTTCTTAACTTCTTGCATTCTTCAACTTTTTGTTGTTCTCATCATTGGTATCTAGAAAAGGGGCTCCACCCCTTACTTTTCTTCTTCATTTTCTTCTTTTATTTTAGTAATTGTTCTCATCAAGCAACACTACAAGAAACACAAGCACAAAAGTAAGTGCAGAATACATAAAACCAAAAAAAAATACTAGTTCAGAAGGGGTAGAAATCCATCGTCTTCTTATTTTTAAATTCCATCGCCTAGGCACCTAGGTTCCTGGGCACCCCATGGTCGCCTAGCCTCGCCTTGGTGCCTTGAATACTATGCTAACAGAGCTAAGCAGCATAATAGGAAGGGAAAAAATTTTTTTCCCAAATAGTCAAACTTGATCTGAAAATTACAGGAGCACTTCCATGGTCTTCAGAAGTATGCCATGCTAGAAGTCAAATACAGATGGTCTCAATTGAAAAATAAACACCATCTGAATATATTCTTAACTGTAATCAGATCTGCTTTTTCTCAATTTTTGTGGGAGAAACCCAAAAAAAAATTAAATGGCTTCAAAACTTCCTAAAAATACATAAAATGTGCCTAAAATCAATCCACACCAGATGCTGACATCATCTGTATGATTGCTCATTTCACCTGCTTCTCAGGAAGGTCAATCTAAGCCAGAAACCTCTGTACCAACTTGAGTAAGTCTGAATGTGTTTTGGGTGTGAACTTCACTCCTCACACCCAAAACATTGTTATTTATATTAAAACAAAAAATTACAAGAGTGCCTCTCCTTAGGTGCCCCTTAATGCTGACTAAACACAATGATTATACTTCCCTCACTGACATAACTGACCACCTCAACATGGAGCACTCACTATGAACTCGGCAATCAAAAAATTACAAGAGTGCCTCTCCTTAGGTGCCATTGACTACTCAACTCCACGCCTTTTCAGCAAAGAATCTCCTTAGTATAAAACATTCCAAGTTGCAATGACTATAAGCTCCATGGTAGGATGCATAACATGCTTTGAGAAAGCATCTCCTTAGTAAGCTTATAGCCTTTAGGCCTTTTTTTTTTTTTTGATCATCAAAGGAAACTTTTATTTGAAATTAGATTTAAGAAGTTTTACAGCGTTGTGTATGGAACAAGAAGCCCTGCACGAATACATATTTCAGTCCCTTTTACAATGCAGCCCAAAACAGTTGTTGCCTCAAAGCCCCTTGTTTAGCAAGATAATCAGCTAGCCCATTTGCACTCCTTCTAATCCATTTGAATTCTGCTTCTATCTCCCTTGCAACCTTTTCCACTTCCCTTATCACTTGTTTGAAGGTCCACGGAGTAGTTCTATT